ATACAGAGGCAATATGATATTTTCTGTCTTAGTACCTATCCCTCTCCTAATGATTCCCAACATGCTGTTTGCTTTTTTGGCTGCCGCTGCACATTGAGTGGATGTTTTCGGAGCACTATCCACAAGGACTCTTTAAGCGTGTGGACTCACCCCTGCAGTGCCTCCTGCTGGTCTCTCAGGGAATTAGCTCCATTTCCAGCCCAGAGCGGCCCTCTCCGGAGCGGCCGCCCCAAGCACCTGCTTGCCAGGCTGGTGCCTGGAGCCGGCCCTGCTGGTCTCCCTCCACAGCTAGAGGAGAGACTCTGCTCAGCTTCTGGGTGCCCTGATTGGGGCGTGGCCCAGCTGCAGCTCCTTCCCCAATCAGCTTGGGCTTTTTCTCCTAGCCCCGAGCCCTCTCCCAGGGCTGGCTTCTCCCCCGTCAGGGCTGGAGCGGGTAACCACCCCGCTACAGACTCCGAGGTCTCTTTCTGGAGTGGTAACAGCTAATTTAGACCCCATCCTTTTATCTGTAGAGTCGGGGTTATGTGTTCCAATGGGCTTTGCATTTATCAGTGTAGTATTTCCCCGCCAAGGGCAATCCCCTACTATTTGAGCTCAAGATTCGCTTCATTAGATGGCTCTGTAGTAGGCTGGTATTTTGTATATGGACCTGCCTCATCGTGGAAACGCCAATAGCTTTGCTAATTGCCTGTGCTATACAGTAGCTGCTGTGAACCCCTTATGGCATTGCTCTCTTTACACCCCTTATGTAGCACTAGGGCTTGGGGAAGCCCAGCAGATCCCAGGAGACCTCCAGCAGCGATAGGGCCCTTGGGAAGTCCATGCGCTCGTCAGCAGCGCTAGAGCCCCTCTGCCACAAAACTGGGCCAAATCCTAGGTGTACGAACCCCAAAGGGCACTGGAAATGCTGCTACTCTTTAGCTATAAGGGGCCCGTGCTGCATCGGGGGGAAATCAATGTAGACTCATCGGGAGAGCTCTGCAGTTAGTGTAACTCCAGCACCACTCCATTGACTTCAGTGCTCAAACAAGCGAAAACCTGGCTGAAAACCGAGGTCTCCGGGGCCCGTTCTAGGTTAAGCCTGGCCCGGCCCCATCGGGGCCCTCTGAACGGGCGTCTAACAGCAGTGTCCTCTCGTTCTGGCTTTCTAGGAACAAGGTGGCCCGAATGCAGCACATCTGAAGGAATGCAGCTCATCCCACTGCGTGGACTAGCCCCTGGGATCAGCGCAGGTTAAAAATCGGAGCCGGGCGCAGCGTGCAGAGGGACTGGAAGCCATCCGAGTAGCAGCCACGCTTCAGACAGCCCCTCGGCTCTCCCTGCTGCTCTGCCCGCCCCCAACTCGGCAGCTCCCCACCTCCTTACTAAAGGACACCGGAGAGCCACTCGTTAACACTCAGGGGACCTCCCCTCCCCAGCGGGAGGTCTCTGCTAAGCCGCATCCGCTGCCACCATCCACCCAGCTTCACACCCCGCTCTCTTTTGCCCCCCGGCGAAGACTTTGCAAATGAAAGCTGCGGTGCTGGGGATTGCAGCCTGTGGGAGGATCAGCGTAACGGGACAGGGTGGGAAGCAGTGGTGCCGGCCTCCCGGAACATGGATCGATTCGCCAGCAGATTCCCACCTCTTAGGAACATGGCCGTGTGGTGCTTCATCCTGCTCCGATCAGGTAAGGGACTGCGGTGAATAATGAGATTTGCCAAAGGCCAGTGGTAGGACCACAGGCCGGGGAGCCAGGAACTCCTGGGTTCTAATCCCGGTGCTGCTCCTTGGGGCCTTGGCCAGGTTGTTTGACCTCTATGAGCTTATTTCCCCATCTGTAAAATGCTTTGAAAATTAAAAGCTACTGTTTAAATGCCACATATAACAACTGTTGTGGAAAATTGACCACACGGCTGATTTTGGATCAGACAGCCAGAGGCTCCTTTATTGATCAATCAAACATGCATGCACGAGGGAGTCAGCCAAGGCAGCCGAACACCCACCCGACAGATAAAATACGGGAGCTTATATAGGATAAAACCACAATTAGTAATCCATACTTTCTTATCAACATTCTTGCCATATTTGGAATACAATAGCCATAAAAGGGAATATAGGATAGCAAGTTTTCCTGTTATTCTTAGTTTGCCCTGTGCGGTTTCTTGCTCTGTCACCTGACATCTATTACTCAGTCTGTTACGAAGGTTAATTCTACTTTTATAATTTCTACAGTTAGTTCTGCTTTTATGATTTCTGTCTACCCGTCTCCTTTTTACCTCCCCGCTTCCCTCCACGTCACACATACAGTTCACCTGACCCTACATACACTTCACTTGACCAAAGTTTAGGCCTTAGTCCATTTTTCCTCCACAGTTCCCCCCTTTGGCGCTTCTCTGGCGCCACCTTTGGCCTAAACTTCCACATTCATGAGCCCATTGATTTCCTTCCTTTCCACAACACAACCTTTCCCGTTCGATTCTCAGCAGCATTTGAACTCAAGACCTTTAGTCATAAAAGCCTGAGTGACTTTCACTTGAGTTAAAGGGGTAACTCCTTCAGCTAACAGTTGTAGTAGGATGTTATGTGTATCAGTCACTGTAGGGGCCAGAGAGCCACACCATACTAGTATGGTCCCGAAGGAGCCCAAAGCAGTTTTGCAAACTGTCAAACCATTTGGTCTCAAACTGGGAGGGCGTATCTAGTGGAGTCCAACAGGGGCCAGTCCTAGGTCCGGTACTACTTAATATTTTCATTAACAACTTGGATAACGGAGTGGAGAGTATGTTTATAACATTTGCAGAGACACCAAGCCGGGAGGGGTTGCAAGGATGTGGTTTGAGCATTGGCCTGCTAAACCCAGGGTTGTGAGTTCAATCCTTGAGGGGGCCATTTAGGGATCGGGGGCAAAAAAAAAAAAAAAGTTGGTGTTGGTCCTGCTTTGAGCAGAGGGTTGGACTAGATGAGGTCCCTTCCAACCCTGATATTCTATGAAAGACGTTGGGGGACAGGATTAGAATTCAAAATGACCTTGACACATTGAAGAATTGGTCTGAAGTCAACCAGATGACGGGGGACCTGATAACGGTCTTCAAATATGTTAAGGGCCGTTATAAAGAGGACAGTGATCAGTTGTTCTCCATGGAAGCCCCCAGGTCCCTCCCAGACCCCACTGCCCTTGGCTTAGGTGCTGCCCCCCTGGCAGTACCCCACTCTCCCTCTGGGTCTCCCCACCCAGGGGAACCCCCATCCCTTATCTCAATGTTGCCTCTGTTGTGGCTTCTGCCAGTCACCATCTCGCCCCCGCGCCCTGGGGCAGGCTGCCGTCTATCAGCCAGTCATCACTGGCAATAAGGGGTTTGGACTGGCTGCCTTCACCCACCCTCAGGTTGCCCTCTGCAAGCCCAATACCTATTTGGGCCTAGGACCAGGCCCTGCAGCCTGGAGAGTTGCTGGCCTAGGGCTTCCCAGCCCTGCCTCACTCTAGGTCCCCGGTGAGCTCCCTGCAGCCAGGCCTGTCTCTCTCTCCTGTCAGAGGGAGACTCCTGTGCTCTGGCTGCCCTGGCCTTCTTATGAGGCTGAGTGGCTCAGTTTGGGGTGTGGCCCCAGCTGCAGCCACTTCCCCAATCAGCCGGGGTTTTGCTCCTTTACTCAGCCCCAGCCCCAGCCCTCTGCAGGGCTTTTCCAACCCCTTCAGGGTTGGAGCGGGTGGTCACCCCGCTACAGTCCCCCAGTAAGTCTGCAAGTGAGACTCAACAGGACAGTCGAGAGGGGTCATCGGGCGGTGATGGGACATTACATGGGGAGGGCTCTGAGTTACTACAGAGAATTCTTGCGCAGCTGTCTGGTGCTGGGTCTTGCCCAGCGTCTAACCGATCGCCATAAATTAAATTAAATTAATGGAGATATCCCATCTCCTAGAACTGGAAGGGAGCCTCATTGAGGCCAGCCCCCTACCTTCATTAGCAGGACCAAGTACTGATTTTGCCCCAGATCCCTAAGCAGTCCCCTCAAGGATTGAATGCACAACCCCGGGCTTAGCAGGCCAATGCTCAAACCATTGAGCTATCCCCCCCCCCCCCCGCCATATTTGGGGTCAGGAAGGAATTTTCCCCCAGATTGGCAGAGACCTGGGGGGGTTCACCTTCCTCTGCAGCACGGGGCCTGGGTCACTTACAGGTTTGAACTAGCGCAAATGGTGGATTCTCTGTAACTTGAAGACTTTAAATCATGATTTGAGGATGTCAGCGACTCAGCCAGAGGTTGTGGGTCTATCACAGGAGTGGGTGGGTGAGGTTCTGTGGCCTGCAATGTGCAGGAGGTCAGATGAGATGATCGTGATGGTCCCTTCTGGCCTTAGAGTCTATGAATCGCTGCGTCTATAAAGCTCCATTTTCTATCGTTGCTGCTCTTTTCTTTCCTCGCTTGGGTCTGTTCGTCCTGTTTTGCCTTCTAGGAAATCGGATTGGACTTTAACACCAGCAATAACAGCTGCGCCAGCCAACCTCAACTAACTTCTTCTCTGTTCCCCAAAAGGACCATTATTGCCATCTGTGACACCCGCTAAGAGACTGTTGGACTGGGGGGTGGGGAAGGATTCCTTCTAAAATCGCTCTCCAGCTAAAGGGGACACGGGATGTGGTTAAAATGAAAACCTTATTTAATACTTCACATTCCAAAGGCTTTAACTCTGTTTTGATTCTTTTCTGTCTCTTTAATGCAAGGTTTAAAGGATGTTTAATGGTGTGTTTGCCCTGGAGCTAAGCAGGCTGAGGTCTCTGCATACCACACCCTGAACCTCGCTTAACACTGTTTAACACTGGACAGTGATAGGCTCATATTAGCACCTTTGGCCCATACAGTCTATTTGCATTGGAGGAAATGCTAAAGTACCCAGGCCGAAAGCAAACTAGCGCGTCCGTATGGCTTTTTCTGTCTCCCATTGGTTCAGTATCCATCCAGGACCGGACTCACAGCCACGCCGAGGAGCGCCTCTTCAAGTACCTGTTCACCAGCTACAACCGGTGGTCCCGGCCAGTCCCCAACATCTCCGACGTCGTCATCGTCAGATTTGGGCTGTCCATCGCTCAGCTGATCGACGTGGTATGTGTGCGAAGCCGGACTCTAATTCCGCTTCTAAAACCCTCCCCAGAAGGGTGGGACATTTCTACTAGCACCTGGGGTTACAGCGGGCAACTTAAGCATAGCAAGGGCTGCATCAGCCCTCATGCTTCAGGTCACATGTGCATCAGCAGCTGGGGTCAGGAAGGAACTCCCCCCCCCTCCCCCCCGGGTAGTATATTGCACATTTAAGGGCTGTAAAAGCTTTTATCCTCTTATCCTTGGAATTACGGCACTGAACTGCAGGTTCAGGAGCACTGGTTCCTTTTCCTTGCTCTGCCATAGACTCACTGTGGGACTTTGTGCCTCACTTCCCCTGTTGTAGAATGGGAACAATGACACTTCCTTTGTCTGCCTTGGCTCTGTAGGGTGTAAACGCTTTGGGTGCATCTACACAGCGAGCGGCAGCCCACGGGTGCAAGTCTCAGAGCCAGGTTTAACGGATTCCGGCTCACACTCCGGTGCTGAAAAGAGCTGGGGAGACATTCAGGCTCGGGCTGGAGCTCAGGCTCTGGGGCCTAGGATGGGGGTGGGCTTCAGGGCTCAAGCTCTGACCCAACCCACGTGTCTACGCAGCTATTTTTAACGCCGTTCTGTGGGCCCCACTCTGTCGCCCTGGGCTTTGATACTCACTTGCTGCAGGCTGAATAGACGGATCCTTAGAGGCAGAAACTGCCTGTCACACTGTGTCCAGGAAGGACCCAGCACCATGGGCCCCAGGCCTCTCGGTGCGTCTCGAGACCCAATATCTAGTAATAATAAAGTCTGAGGAATTGGCCACAGCTGGCGACACGAAACTGAACTAGAAGGACCATTGAGCTGTTCACTGCAACAATTCCTCTGGTCTGCTCGTCATGTAATTTCTCTCTCTCGCTTTCTGGACATGAAGATAAATGAGCTCGGCCAGGGACGTTTAGCACAGCCAGTCAGCGCTGGCGGACGCAAGATAAAATAGGCCGCCATGAAGCACTTTAAATGTAACGGCACTTAATAGAAAGGGCCCACGTGTTACCTCTTGTCTATAAGAGGAGTGTCAAGAAAACACAGGGACAAAGACAAAATGCATTGGGATGGGTTTTATTTAGTATCCCGTCTTCCAGACAAGATCTCAGTTCTCAGCCACATCAGGCCAACCTTGGCTTATTACGACTAGAGAGAACTGGATAAATTCATGGAGGTTAAGTCCATGAATGGCTATTAGCCAGGACGGGTAAGGAATGGTGTCCCTAGCCTCTGTCTGTCAGAGGGTGGAGATGGATGGCAGGAGAGAGATCACTTGATCATTGCCTGTTGGTCCACTCCCTCTGGGGCACCTGGCATTGGCCACTGTCGGTAGACAGGATACTGGGCTGGATGGACCTTTGGTCTGACCCAGTACGGCCTTTCTTATGGTCTTATGATTGATGAAGTGTGCACAGGATGGGAGCCGGTAGGTTGTTAGCCCCCGTGCCCTGGCCAAATTCCAGCGTGGATCATTATCTTCCACTTAACTAAACTGCCCCCGCGGTTCCAGCTGATGGCGCTATTCTTCTTTACTTCCTGTCCTAAACTGTTGTCCGGTGTTGCTGTGTGGCTGTTAAACAGCTGTTGCACTCCACCCCAGAGGTGCAGCAGAAAGAGATTCAGCTTAATAGATGTTTAAGGCCAAAAGGACCATTGTGATCATCTTGTCCGCCCTCCAGCAGAACACAGGCCAGAAGAAGTCCCTGAATTCGTTGATTGAACTAGAAAAACATCCAGTCTTGATTTTAAAATGGCCAGGGATGGAGAATCCCCCTCTCCCCCCTCCCCCCGCCCTTGCCAAACTGCTCCAGTGGTTCATTAAAAATTGTCCCCGAATTTGTCTGGCTTCAACTTCCATATAACGGGCTTTCTGTTGCTCTGAAGTGACTGCAAAGAAACCGCAGTCAAAACCAAACAGCCGGAAGAGTGAAAACAAAGTATGTTTGGTTTGTAAAGCCCTTCGAGCCGCAATAGTCTCAGGGGTGGCTAGTGACACGGGGAAAGAAATTAACTGGGCCAAATTCTGCAGACCAGGATGATCCCTCTGAAACCAGCGGTAACTGACGTGAAACTGACAGTGCAGGGGGATTCCCGCATTCTGGGGCTCACCTCATTCCTTTTCCATCAAGTGCCATGGAGTCTTTCCAAGAACCACAAGGGGTCAGGAGCTCAGGTTAATAACGGCAATACCAGTCTCCTCAGCCTGGCGGGGAGCTAGTCGCTTCATCTGGAAGCCGTTCCCTTTTCTCGCTGAAGCATTTGAGCACCTCTCAGTTAGCTGTATGCACTTACACTAGGAAGTCTCTCGAATAGTCTTTCCACTACCTATCTATAAATCTACCCATCCCACATGAATCACCATGATATTTAAGCACTGTTACCCCTGGGAAAAGGGATAAACAATGAGATGGCAACATTTGCAGACAATGCCAAATTACTCAAGATAGTTAAATCCAAAGCTGATTGCAAAGAGTTACAAAGAGATCTCCCAAGACTGGGTGACTGGGCAACAAAATAGAAAATGAAATGCAATGTTGACAAACGCACAGTAATGGATTTGGAAAGCAGAACCCCAACTATGCACACAAAATGCTGTGTTAGGGGGCTTATTCCTTCACCCTCTCACTTCCCTGGTCCTTCTCGCATGAACAGAGAGCAACAATACCCGAAGTCCAAAGGTGCAAACAATTCAATGTTTATTGGGGTGAACTTCCAGCAAGCATGATTCCAGTTTCCTTCCTCAGTGTCCCCCTTCCCAGCTCTGACACCACAGAGCCTTGCCTGTCTCCCTGTTCCCATTCCCCCCTCCTTAGCAAAACATGATTCCAATTCCCCCACCCCCAGTCCCTGTTCCCATTCCCCCCTTACTTCCTGATTGACTGCGGACTATATAGTAAAACTTGTATTCTGCTTAGCTATACCTGAACCAATCATTTTACTGAAATTTAACTAACCAATCCTAACATACTGTAACATGATTATTTAACCAATTATATTCCACCACCATAATTAGTTTACACCCAACAAAATTAATTATACAGCAGACAGAAATAATTATAGAAGCAGACAGAGACCATGCAAATAAACATACAAAACAATACAGAAGTGAGGATTTTCCAGCTGTGTCTATTGATAAGTGAGTTCTTACCAGACAAAAAACTATCAAACTAAATTTCCTTTTACATGTTCTAGGCTCTTCCCTTTCTCTGGAGGTGACAGGAATATCAGGACAGGATTGGATTCCTAACAGCCCAATAGCACCTTATTTCAATGTGACTCGTTTGGAATGTGAGGATGTGACCAGACACTTCCCAGTTTATGGCTGTCTCTGCTACTTAGCCGAAGGCCTTAGGCTAAGAACCAGGCCTCAGACTGTCACAGTACGAGAAGGCCCTTACACCGGCAGACAGTGATTTTGATTCTTTCTTTTATACCTCGATAACTAGCTAAGTGATCAGAATACACCTAAATTCTTAAAGCATAGGCCTTTACAGACAGGCCTGAATATCTATATCCTAACATGCTGGGGTCTAAATGAGCTGTTACCACTCCAGAAAGATCTTGGTGTTGTATAGATAATTCTCTGGAAACAAACTCTCAATGTGCAGCGAACAGTGTTAGGAACCATTAGGAAAGGAACCGATAATAAAACAGAAAGTATCATAATCCCACTACATAAATCCACGGTACGCCCACATCTTGAATACTGCGTGCAGACCTGGCTGCCCCATCTCAAAAGATATATTAGAACTGGAAAAAGTGCAGAGAAGGGCAACAAAAATGATTAGGGGTATGGAACAACTTCCTTATGAGGAGAGATTGAAAAGACTGGGACTTTTCAGCTTGGAAAAGAGACGACTGAGGGGGATATGAAAGAAGTCTATAAAATCATGACTGGTGTGGAGAAAGTGAATAAGGAAGTGTTATTTAGCACTTCACATAACACAAGAACTAGGGGTCACCTGATGGAATTAATAGGCAGCAGGTTTAAAACAAACAAAAGGAAGTATTTTTTCACACAACGCACAGTCAACCTGTGGAACTCCTTGCCAGAGGATGTCATGAAGGCCAAGACTATAACAGGGTTCAAAAAAGAACTAGATAAATTCATGGAGGGTAGGTCCATCAATGGCTATTAGCCAGGAGGTGCAGGGATGCAAAACCGTGCTCTGAAGTGTCCCTAACCTCTGTTTGCCAGAAGCTGGGAATGGGCGACAGGGGACGGATCACTTGATGATTACCTGTTCTGTTCATTCCCTCTGAAGCACCTGGCATTGGCCATTGTTGAAAGACAGGGTATTGGGCTAGATGGACCTTTGGTCTGACCCAGTATGGCCCTTTTTATGTAAGCCCATAATTCGTAACTACTAATGGTACGCCATTGCCATCTAGTGGCCACACACCTAAAGGAGATAAAAATCTCCCTCTCTCCATAGCTGCCATTCATTCCTACCAGTACCCGAGCTCTGGAGGAGGGTGGGAAAGGTAACAGTTGGGTCTTGTGGAAGCAGCTGGTTTCAGGTCTGACGCTGGTTTTCTCCATTATGATCAAACAAACTCTCCTCCTCTCTCCTTTCTCCCCTCCCCACCATGTCCCTAACAGGATGAGAAGAACCAAATGATGACCACAAACGTCTGGCTGAAACAGGTGAGGGATCATTTCCCCACGGGGTGCTGGGAGGAGAAGTGGGTTTCCCAAGTCACAAGGAACTCCCCGGGGCTTAGAGTTTGGTTCAGAGAAGTCCCGACCAGCCTGGCATCTCGTCTAGCCGCACTTCTTGGGGTTAGAAACTTCATGAGAAGAGCTTTGGATGCTGGATTTCAGCCTCGTCCCCCTGATCTGGGTGAAACCCAAGAGAGAGGATGCCCCAGGGGCTTGGCACTGGTGCATGGTGACTTTACCCATGTGGACATGGCTGAAATCTAGCCCATGTGAGAAGTGGCTGGGAGCTGTTCCCCTCCCACAGCTGCTCAGACTTTGTGAACTGGGTTGGTGGGTCTCAGCCCAGGTCCCCGGGGATGGGCACTGAACGGACCCCAGTGACAGGTCTCTGAAGCGGCTCTGCCCAGGCAGGATTTAAAGCATGTTGATGGGACCGTCCATCGGGAGCTGATGGTGGTTCAGCCCGTGCTCTACCTGCCCTACACGGAGAGACCTTCGCTCGGCAGGATTGCCGCCTGGGACCTTTCACCAGCACTGAATTCCCACCAGCGCCCAGATGCCGTGGGGATGGGCACTTTAGCAAAGTGCCTACTAATAATGAAGACGTGTTTGAAAAGAGAACATCTGCTCAGGAGGAACCTCTTTAAGCTGAGCAGCGACCGAGGACCCCTTTAGCTCATGTAGGAGGGGCCCATGCTTCAGGCGCTAAACATCCGAGGGGACCCAGGATGAGTTGTTACAAGAGGACACTGTACGTCTCCTTGCAGCAATGGTCGCCCCGCTCCCTCTGGCGGCTGGATCCCCGGCCCTCGCTGGGCAGCACGTCCATCTCAGACCCTTCTTGCTCTTTCCTCCCCCAGGAGTGGAGTGACTACAAGCTGCGCTGGAACCCGGCGGACTTCGATAACGTCACCTCCATCCGGGTGCCCTCTGAGATGATCTGGATTCCTGACATTGTGCTGTATAACAAGTAGGTGACACCACTGCGCAGGTACGGCAAGGCAAAGACCTTAGGGATGGAGAGGGGGCCTAGGGGGTCACATTGGGCAGTATACGGCTGGCAGCATCCATCCCATGCCTGCCGCCTGCAGGCCAGGCCTCACGGAGACGTCGGTCCTGATCCCACTTGCAGTTGCACCAATTGAAATTAGGAGTAACTCCACTGAAGTCAATGGGTTTACACTGGTGTATCTGGGAGTAGAATCAGGTGCATGGTAGCAGGGAGCCAGAGTGAACCACATGGTCTGTCTGTGTCCAGCAGCCTGAACAACAAATCCCCTTCCCATGCATTATGAGGGTGACCAGATCACCACACTAAAATATCGGGACACATTGGGGTGCCATCAGCCCCGCCCACAGTCCACTCCCGCTCCTCCCAGGCTCCGCCCCCATTCTGCCCCAGGTCCTGCCCCCTTCCCACTCGCCCCCCCCCACCGCGACCTTCCTCATCCCGGCCCGCCACTGGCTTGCTGCATCCCTCCTCAGTCCCCCACCCACCGCTCGCCTCCTCACCCCCCAGCCCGTCGCTCGCCTCTTCACCCCCCCGCCCGCCACTCATCCCTATGGTGCCGACTTCCCCTCTGCCGGGTGGGTGCTCGCCCACCCCCTGCCTCTTCCCGCCCTCGCCCTGCCCCCATTCCACCCCCTTTCCCCAAGTCCCCGCCCCTGCCCTGCCTCTTCTCCGCCTCCTCCCCTGAGTGCGCTGCGTCCCCGCTCCTCCCCCCTCCCTCCCGGAAAGCCGCCAAACAGCTGTTAGGCCGCAGGAAGCGCTGGGAGGGGGGGGAGGAGCGGGGACGTGGCGCGCTGGGGGGAGAGGGAGAGAAGGAGGCGAGGAGGGGGGAGCGTGGCTGCAATTTTTCCCTGTGGGTGCTCCAGCCCCAGAGCACCTACAGGGTCAGGGCCTTCCTCCCGCTCGTCTCCTCACCCGAATATCGGGACAAATGGCATCCTGAGCGTACATCGATCGGGATGCGGGACAAAGGCTTAAATATCGGGACAGTCCCAATTTTATCGGGACATCTGGTCACCCTAGGAATTACAGCCCAGTCTCCCAGGCTGTTTCCAGCAGGCAGGGCCCTATGCTTCACGAATGCATGTTCCAGTTGAAATGTGTGTCTTGCTGCCACCTGCTGGTGTGTCTCGGTCACTAAAGGAAATATTCTCGACCTGGGAAGGGCCTGCTTTTTAATTAACGTCCGGCCTTGTTAACAGATTCAGTCACAGAGAAACCGTATCCTGGGGAACTGGGTCGGAGCCGGGTTCCTGGGTTCCAAACCTGCCCCGCGTCATTTCATGACCAGCTGCCTTGACAGACAGGGTCTTCATCGGCCCCAGGCCCGGCCATGAGTTCGCAGGGTTTCGTGCCGCACACTCAGCGTTCTCCCTTGGCATCCAGACAGGAACCTTGCTGCACTCGGCTGCAGAGACATCTTGAGACACCCCCAGGCCTGATCTCCTGCTCCTGCCCCACCGACTTCTGCCTGATCTGTCCATCCAGCCATGCTCATCACCACAGTATCTGAGCACCTGCCGTGGGGTTGTGTTGGGTCCCTGAGCCCCTCTGTGTCTACCCACCTAGGCACTTACGTGTCCCCCCTTAATCACACATCTCAGCTCCTCCCAAGGACCCGATCCCCCCATTTCACAGATGGGGACACTGTGACCTAGAAGAGTTAGGGGTGAAATTCATCCCCGTGCAAAGGGCCAGGCTCCACTTTATCCCTCACACCGGGGACGTTAGTGGTGCCTTGGCACTGGCTGGCCACGTGAGGTGGAGTGATTTGCACAGGGGGGGCTGTAGCAGGGCCAGGAACTCAAACCGAGATCTTTTGAGTCCCAGAGCCGAGCTAATCACAAGCCCTTTCTCCTCTTTTACTGCTCCTGGTGGATTTGGTCTTGCATCCTCCCTGCCCCCCACTTTCTCCGAGGCTCTCACAACTCTGACCCCCCCGCTCCTCTGTCCTGCAGCGCCGACGGGGAGTTCGCCGTGACGCACATGACCAAAGCCCACCTCTTCTCCAACGGCAAGGTGAAGTGGGTGCCGCCGGCCATCTACAAGAGCTCGTGCAGCATCGACGTGACCTTCTTCCCCTTCGACCAGCAGAACTGCAAGATGAAGTTTGGCTCATGGACGTACGACAAGGCCAAGATTGACCTGGAGAGCATGGAGCGCGACGTGGACCTGAAAGACTACTGGGAGAGCGGGGAATGGGCCATCATCAACGCCGTGGGCACCTACAACACCAAGAAATATGACTGCTGCACGGAGATCTACCCCGACATCACCTACTGCTTCATCATCCGGCGCTTGCCCCTTTTCTACACCATCAACCTGATCATCCCCTGCCTGCTCATCTCCTGCCTGACCGTGCTGGTCTTCTACCTGCCCTCCGACTGCGGGGAGAAGATCACCCTCTGCATCTCCGTGCTGCTCTCCCTCACTGTCTTCCTGCTGCTCATTACCGAGATCATCCCTTCCACCTCGCTGGTCATCCCCCTGATCGGCGAGTACCTCCTCTTCACCATGATCTTCGTCACCCTCTCCATCGTCATCACCGTCTTCGTCCTCAACGTCCACCACCGCTCGCCCAGCACCCACAAGATGCCCCGCTGGGTGCGCGCCGCCTTCCTGGACTTCATCCCCCGCTGGCTTTTCATGAGACGGCCTCCGGTGCTAACCCCCCGGCAGGGGCTGAGCGGGGAGTATGACCCGCCTGGCGTCAGGCTCAGCACCTCCAGGGGCTGGCTGGAAACGGACGTCGATGACACATGGGAGGAGGAGGAGGAGGAGGAGGAGGAGGAGAGGAGGCACCCCGGACGCGCGCCACTCCAGACAGGCTCCCACAAACACAGCGTCCAATACCGCTCCGGCTGCGGCCGCCACCTGGGCAGGGGGCGGGGGGCCCGGGCACAGCGCCCGCCTGCCAAAGGGGACAGCTTGGGGTCGGATCCCCGCCTGCTGCTGTCCCCCAGCATTCTGAAGGCCTTGGAGGGGGTGCACTACATCGCAGACCACCTGCGGGCCGAGGACGCTGATTTCTCGGTGAGTCTGCGCCCTGCGGGCTCGGGAGGGCTGGGCCCTGGCACCGTGGGTCTTTCCCCCCCCTAGCCATTGGTTGGAGTCTGGCCCATTTCAGGCACCACCATCTGATGGCTATTCAGGGGCCTGGTTGGCACAAGTAGGCGGGAGTCAATCTAGCTCCCAGCGGAGAGGCACCCCCTGCATTGCCCCCCCGGGGAGCAGTCCTAGCAGAGAGGACCAGGCAGTGATGGGCAGGGGGAACTGGCTTTCCTCCTCTCGCTCCAGCGGGGTCCAGGATCCGGGGCTGGGGGGAGGCCCATCGCTCAGGCAGGGTGAAGGGGGCTTGCTCCACTTACTGCCCCTACCCCAATGCCCCCAGCTGTCCAGCCGGCGCTGCGGTCACCTACAGTCGTTGTCTACAGCTGTTCTGTGACCTCTTGGTTGGTAGTCTCCTTGCCAGGGATCAGGGGAGAGCTTGGAAGAGGTGGGGCTAAAAACAAATTAACTATTCCCAGGCCAGCGATTGGCTGATGGGAGAGGCCTGTGCCGTAACGGAGCGTGTGCTTCATTCACTGGTGGGACTCCATTGAGGTCCAAACGCCAGGGGGCAGGACAAGCATCTGCACTCAGCTGCAAAGCAAAGCCACTGGACCACGGCTTGAACACCATTTATGCTCCTCGGGTGGCATTGTGCCTGAGGGACTCTGAATTAGCCGACACCCAGGCTGAGCTCTGCCGTGAAGGACACACATACCTAGCTTGGGTCTTCTCAGCGCTGGATTAAAGCGACATGTGGCCTGGATAGTAGGGTTACCATATTCAAACATTTAAAAAAGAGGACACTCCACGGGGCCCCGGTCCCGCCCCTGGCCCAACTCAGCCCCTTCCCCACCCCCGGCCCCGCCCCAACCCCACCCCTTCTCCGCCCCCATTCCAGCCCCTTCCCCAAAGTCCCTGCCCCAACTCTGCCCCCTCCTCTGAGCACCCCGCATTC